AGACGAAATAAAATCATGAAATAGTTCAAAGACGAAAAATCAATCTTTTTAAAATTAAACAAACTTGAAATATATTCAAAGTTTATAAATTCAATAGAATTTAACTAGATCCAATATAATTTAATCAAATAATATTTTATAATATAATAAATTAATTATTAACAATTTTTTTTATAAAATAAGCAATAATAATTGTTTTAATATATTTACAAGTTTCAATTAGTTTAAGATTCAAGGTGATTTATATATATTATTTTTCCTTATTTTATCAGGTATCTTGTAAAACTAAACTCATGATAAATGTGAGCTCCACAATATATATTTATGTTTTTTACATTCATGAGTTTTACATCTCTTAAGAGATGCTTAGATGTTTGTTTTGGTATACTCATGTGAGATAAAAAAATTAATCTTTCATAAAAATTATAATAATAAAAATTGATTTGACCAAAAAATCCAATTAATTTTTTTAAGTTTATCTTGATTTAATTAACATTTTACTATTTAAAAATAATGTATCAATTTTTTTTTCTAATTAAACTAATTAAACGTGGGATCCAGTTTCGTTTTCAAGATAGTGGTAAAAACATATTTAATCCCGTATTTTTTGTGTATCACACATTCACTCTACTTTTCATATTATCATGCGTCTTTGTTCTATTTTTATTTTTTTTACTCCACATGAATATAAACATAATTTTATTTAATAAAAGATAATATAAATTTATAGACGATAAGAAAAATAATTATAAAAAAATCTCATTTATATATTACTATAAATTATTATTATTATTATAGTAATGGTTATATACTAATATTTTCCAAAAATATTACAATTACAAATAAAATTATTTTTTATCATAAATTTAGATTAATTGTTCATGTTTAACTAGGAGAGAAGTAGTTACTTGGATTAATATATACCAACCCCTTCTTAATTTTATCAAGTTATTTTGCCTTTTACGAGTAAACCTAAATACAATTGAAAAAGAGAAATCAACGGCATTAAGAGGCAGTTTTGCATAAAATTTTGGGGAACTTCTGGTGAGACCCATTCCAGGATCGTGCATATCCCTCTTTCTTGTTATTCGTCTTTGACAAAATGCAAGGGAGATTAAAATTTCAAACATTAGTGCCTCCTAGTAAAAGAGGAAGTAGTGTTGCAATTTTCTTCCACAAAAGAAATATCAGTCACATATAGTCCCTGCATTTGGATTCACGTACAGTTATAGTTAACTAATCCAATATATTCACTATACGTCTTATTGCATATTACGCTTTTTTCACACAAACACCACCATCATTGCCTCATAACTATAAATTCTATAAATAGGATAAGAATATCTTTCTCCACACTTCAATTTTCAATTTTAAGCATGGAACATAAGGAATTTGACAATAAAACAACATCTGCTGTTGTCTGATTCATTCATTATTAATTAGTTAACTATGGTACTATGACAACATATATGGTATTGTCTAATTTCATTTATTAAATAATGGTTACACTATCTTGATAATTTTTTAATATAAGAAGAAATAGAAGTTAAATTATTGTTTCTATCAACTAGTTAACTTGCTTCTACGTACGCGTTTCTTGTTTCTAGAAATTATTTTGTTATGACTTTACAGCCACAATAAACTTTCCAGAAGAATACACATTCTATCAGTCAATAGGGAAGGAGGATACGCAAGTTGTCGGTGAGACAGAACAAAGATTTTGCTAGGAAATATTAAGCCAACCTTTGGGTTAGCGGAAAAGTCCACACCGCAACAGAAAATGAAAGATGAAATTATGAAGATATCTTATTTAAATAAAAAATTTTATATTTCCATCTTTCTCAATCACACACTTTTTTTTATTATTAATTAAAATACAAGTTGAAAACGATTTTTAAAAATAATAAGCTCTTAAATACACCTTTCGTATAAAAGATTTCATCCTTTATTTTTTATTATTCAATTTATGTAATTTGTCGGAACTAAATCATGCTTATTTTTTTAATTATGTATATAGGGGATGACTCACAACAAGGTGGTAAATTATTTATATAGAAGCACTTATATGTACGTGACTGACATGAATTCCACTATCATACAAGGAAGACTAATTTTCTTTAACTTTCTTTCGCATTTTCTATTTTAAAATTTTAATCATAGGTCCAAAAGAAACTTTTTTATAACTTTCAAATTTTTATAAAATATTTTTCAAAATTTCCCCATTTAATTTTTTTATAACTTTCACCGTAAAAAATCTATAATAACAAAATTATATTAATATCTGTCATACTTAGTTAAATTAAAAGACTGCTTCAAAGTAGGAGCCTTTATATAATACTAATTAATGGGACGAGTCACATTCAATCATATCTATAGCTTAGAAGTAAATAGCATACATTACTTTCATGGCAATGTGTGAGCAAAGCAGTGGGGTCATCCAATTGGTGCAACTTGTAACTAGGATCCCACTTGTAGCATTGGTGGCACCCTAAGATATTTCGTTGTGTCTACAATGAAGGGAGATACATATTGTGTTTATATCTTCATGTTCCACGTTTAATTTTTTATAATGTTTTAAATAATGACTAAATTACGGCTTTTCATTAAAATTATAATAGGATGTGGTATAAATTAAATTAAATTAAATTTTATTTTGTATCCAATCCGTTAAACGTTAGTTTAATTTATAAATTACCACAATTTTTATAAAATAATAATATTTTTTTTAATATAAATAAAAATAATATTATTTTATTAAAAATATATATGTATTATAAATTAATATAATAAAAAATTTATTTATTTTAAAAATAAATATCATAAAAAATTTAATAACTATTCATTTTAAGATTTAATATTTAATATTAATTAATATTAAAAATTAATAAATTATAAAAAATATTATTAATAAAGAATAATAATTTTTTAATTTTTATTTTAAGATTAAATAGATTCATCATCTTAAAATCTATATATCAAATTATCATAAATAAAAATTAATCTTACTAATATAATTTAAATTTTTTAAAAATATATTTTTATTTTTATTTAAATATTTTATTATTATTTTAGTATAGATATATTAATAATTTTAAAAAAATTCAAATCAAAATTAACTTATCTAACCTAAAGTGATATTAAACTAATAATTATGACTAATTTTAAAATATTAATAAAATTGAATTATGATTTTCTTATACTTAATAGGTATAATTAAATTAAACTAACCTAGTCACCCGTTTTAAGAGCTATTATCAACTTGTGATTTCAATTGTTATTCTATAAAATATTTGTAAAAGGTTTTTATGATTTATAAATTATCTAAACATTTTTTGTTTAATCTTAATAACATTTTAATCTAATAAGTTGGGTCGTACAAATTTTAAAATTATCATTTGATCGTTCCTCTTTACATATAACTTTAATAAGTCAATTTAAAAACCTCTATTTGATTTAAATTTTTTAAATATTCTTACAAATTAATCAAAATTAAATACAAATTTAATTGATTTTATGAATATTGAACTTGTAAAAAAAATTAAAACTAAAAACTAACATTTTGAAGGAAGGTTATTTAAATACTAAAATGATATATTAAATTTGAATTCTTCTATTCATAATTAAAAAAAAAATTACTATTGAGGAAGGTGCTGTGATGAATAATTTTTCAGAGAGTAATTTAAAAGACAAAATTGTACTTTTAGTCACTTAGAAAATAAGAGTGAATGTCTTGTTACTTATTGTACAAGTATGAAAATTTGATTTTCATGTATGAGAGATGACTTAAAATATTTATAGTCCATCGGATTTATTTTCTATAAATATAATTTATACATTGTAAAAGTATTTTAAAAAAATTATGTTAATTATGAATTTAAATAAGAATAAATCCTAAAAATAATACATTAAAAAAAAGAGTGACTAAAATAAAATTATATAATTTATTTATCAAGTTGATAGATTTATTTATTGTTTATATGTAGTTTTTTTTATTTTTATAATTTTTTTCTTTTCACTCATTTTTTATCTTTCTTTTTTATTTTATGATTTATATATTTTTTCCTGTATTCTCATAATTAAACTATTATATTAAAATTTAAAATAAATAATATAAAAATAACATTAAAACTAAAAAATATTAACTAAATATTAAATTTATAATAATAATAAATAAATTTATTTATTTTGATAATAAATAAATTTATTTATAATAACATAAATATTATAATATTTTTATTTAAATATTTTTTATTTTTCAATAATAATAAAAGATTCACATTTTTTTTAAGTGTCTTATTTCCTATTCTTGAGAATAAGAGTGAGAACTCACTTTTTTTTTCGTGTTTTTTTTTATTTGCTATGAAAGAGTTTGAAAATTTGGGTTTTTCAGTAACTATACACTATGATACTTCTTGTACCTTTAGTTTAACTTATTCCTTTTATTATTTGTTTTCTATTTATCAGAGAGAAAAATATTATATTTAATAATAAAGTTATTTTTTGTTATAAATGTATTACTAATAATTATTAAGGACATGTTTACTAAATCAATTTGCAACAAAAAGAACCGAAAATGAAGGTGTGTGGACCAAAATAAAACAAAGTAGAGAAGAAAAAAACAAAAAGAAGTATGAAATGAGGGTATGGCAGGAAAAATAGGCAAAGAATTTGGGAAAGTATAGAAATAATAAAAATAGGAGAGCGATGTTTAACTGAGAAGTAGTGGTGGATCCGGATGCAGAATCAAGATAAGCGAAAACTATGCCAGATACATCTTGAGTCAGCCAGCGCCCACTGGATAAGTTCCATTCCCGTGTTTCTATATCCTAACACATCCGAACCACGATTATATTATATTCTTTGTGGGCTCCACACACACACACTCTCTCTCCTACCTTTTATATATTCACAACCCTAATTCCTTTCCTTCCTCACATTCCAATCCCCAATTCCCAAATCAAAACCTCTCGCAACACCTTCGCACTTCACAAACTACCATTATGATTTCTTCTCTCGCCTTCTCACCGACTCTTCCCGCCCCAAGCTTCTCCGGCAACGCCCTCGCCTCGCCATCGTGTCGCGTCAGATCCCGCCCTATAGTCGCCTTCGCCACTGCCACCGCCACTGCGACCGAGGAAGCTCGCTCCTCCTGGATGGAGAAACCACGCCCTTCGTATCTCAACTCCTCGTGCTCTTCCCTCTACGATATACTCGGCATCCCCGCCGGCGCCTCCAACCAGGAAATCAAGGCGGCGTACCGGCGATTGGCCAGAGTCTGCCACCCGGATGTCGCGGCAATCGACCAGAAAAACTCCTCCGCGGACGAATTCATGAAGATCCACGCCGCGTACTCCACTCTCTCGGATCCTGACAAGCGCGCTAACTACGACCGGAGCCTTTTCCGGCGACAACGGCCGCTCTCGACGGCGCCGGTGTTCTCCGGCTACACGCGTCGGAACTGGGAAACGGATCAGTGCTGGTAATGAGTCAGTGAGTGGACTCGCCCGAGTGAATCAGAGAAGACGCGGTTATTGAAGCGCCTTTCCTTGCATATAAATCACTAATTAGTTAGCGGTGTAGTTCGTATAATACAACGTATATGTACACACATATACGCTTAGAGTAGAATAGACGGCCACTAGTACTTACTTGCCACTTTGTAGTTTTTAAACTTTTCATCCAAATTTCATGGATGACACAAAAAACAGAAAAGAAAATTGAACTTTGGTTTACGCCACTGCCTGATAAGTTTGTTAGCTTCTTTTATTAGTATAAGTTTTTCTTGATCAATTGAAAAAAATCTAAGGTATATAAGTAACTAAGCAGGATCACCTGCTGAAATTGAGAAAAGCAGAAACATGGTTGAGTATAGAAAGTTCTTTATGTTTCTATTTACGGTGGTTTAGATCTGTGACGTTGATGGGGGTTAAGGGAGAGTTAACGCAAGTCGCAAACAAAGTTAATTGGCACTTTCTGAAAACAAATTTACTTGCTTGGTACCCTAAAAATTGGGAAACTTTGTTTGGTTCCATTATTTATTATTAAAATTGAAAGTCAACACCATTTGGCGTGTTCATAGTCGTTTCCCATAACGAAATGCTAGAAACTCAAGGTTTCTAGAAGACGAGGTCACCGTGCCCTATGTGCGATCCCACTTTCGGTTGATTAATTAATCGTTCATTTTTAATTCCCGTGAATATACTTTTTCATTTTCCCTTTTTGGATGATCCAAACCAAACTTTCAACTTGCAACGAACAGTGAGTGGACAACCCAAGGTGCGTGTTTCCATTGTGGACGGTTAGCTGGTGAACAAAGCTTTGTTTATTGTTTGTGTTGAATAGTTAATGTTTTGATGTTACATATGGATATGTGTTCAATCAATTTTAAAATTGGTGGGTGTTCATGGACAACACTATCCGCGACAAATGCATTGCATAAGCAGTTGCAGTTAACATTTTTGATATAGTAATACTATATTCAAATGATAGATGTTGAAGGTTTTATTTAGAATTTGTCAGTGTTCATTTTTCTTCATAAAATCATCTTGTTGATAATATTAAGAATAATTTTTTATAAAATCCAGTTCTTCTTTGGTCAAGCCAAGTTTAAGATATAAAAATTCAATCGAGTTATTAAATTCAATTTAATAAAATAATATATTTATATAATATAATAAATATATAATACACTTATTAATAAGGATAATTTTAAAAAATAAATTATAATAATAATGAAAGTCTTATCACAACTAAGAAAATTGTTATTTAAAATTGATATTATATGAACTAAAATTTTCAAAATAATAATTTTTTTTAATTAAATATATCCTCAAATTGATAACTAATGCCTATAACGCTATTACAATTTTATATAAAATAAAAATATCTTAATTTTATGTTTATTATAATAAAATTATCAATATAAGATATTATTTATTATGAAATTTCAGTAACGATTTTATTCTTAAAATATGTCTCGATCAGTTAAGAAATCATGATGTATATAAATTATTATTGACCCAAACTCTTAAGCAATATGAATTTGGGGTTATATTTTATACACTCATGAGTCTTACATCGCCTAAAAGTCAAGTTCAAGAGTAATTTATATATACTTTCCTCATAATCTTACATCACTTAAGAGCTAAGATAAAAGGTAATTTATATGTACTCTTCTCTCTTTATCCACCAAGACAACTTGTAAGAACAAAACCGTGATGGATTAAAGTTTCAAAGCAGACAATACCTTAAACATGATAATGGATTTTAATGATACTATCATAGTGGACATGAGACTGAAACACTTTCGTTTGACGTTTATCATGGGGTTAAGATTACATTCTCAAGTTTTCTTCTACCCCTTTAGTCATTGATTGCAGGACTATGTTCCGATTACATCACTTAAGAGTTGAAACCAATGATTTATATACATTTTTCTCTTTTAACCTACAAAAACGTCTTTTAAGGATAAAACTGTGAAAAACTAGAGTTTCAAAGTGGACATTGCATTGGGTATAGTTATTGATCTAACGATATTATCATAAATAATATAAAGTCGAGACCTTCTTGTTTTTACATGAAATATTAGCACTCACCATGAGATTAAGAACAAAATTTCACTCCAATCATACCCGTTAGTCATCAAGTCGAGGAGTGTGTTTTGACAAATACTCATGAGTCTTATAGTCGAGGTCAATGGTAATTTATATACATCATCCTTTTTTAACTTATCAATACATTTTTTAAGAACAAATTAGAATTTTAAAACAGGTTGAGAAATAATGATATATATAGACTATCATTGATATCAATTCTTAAGCGATATGAAAGTATAAGTGTACCAAAACTTATCGATACATTTTTTAAGAACAAATTAGAATTTTAAAACAAAGTTGAAAAATAATGATATATATAAATTATCATTGATATCAATTCTTAAGCGATATGAGAATATAAGTGTACCAAAACTCGCTACAAAACAAATACTTACGTTTTCTTTATTTTTATTTTTTTCATGTTAATATGGAAATAGATAAAATAAGATTAGATATGTTTTTTTCATCATTATATTTTTAGTAAAATTTGATTTTTGTTCAACTTTTTTTATTTTATATTTTCATTATTTGTATTCCTTTCCTGAGCACTACTTGAATTTAGACATTAAGAAACGGTAAAAATAGATCATTTGGCTTTAACTTTTAAATAAATAAAAAATAATACCTGTCCAGCATTAAAAAGTTGTTAAATAACCAATACCAACTTAAGCAAAAAAAGGAAAGAAAAGAAAAGGTACTATCTTCCTCCTCGTGGAGGTGACTTTTGAGCATCTTTGAAAAGTAATTTTAATATTGTCCTTAAATCCTATATCTTTGTATATCATTCATTCTAGAAAGAAAGCGTTGCAAGCTCATCTTGATGTGTATTGCAGCCATGAATGGGACAAATCTATGAATACATTTCCTTTTCTATCACTGTAGTGGACTACAAACCATCTTCTAGACCACAATCATAAAATATTATTCAAAGAGACACAATCAATCACAGATGAGAGAGAAGAAAAGCTTCTAGATTTATATTCAATATCACAACCTTCTAGATGGATATTTGGACCATATAAGGACCCACTGTGCTACAAGCCAATAGGAAACAAAATTTATATTTTCAACTTCTTTACTAAAACAAATATGTAAAAATACAACTTTAATTTTTCTTTTTTCTTTAAGTAGATGATAAGAAAGAAAACATATTTTTTAATATAAATGTCTTTAGTATTCATATTGAGATAAAATAAATTTAGATTATTGAATTTGATTTTAAAAATTTTAATCTATTTGGTGTTTCAACCATCCAAATACAAAATATTAATGAGCTTTTTGTTTTAATTTTTTAGTATTTTTAATTATTTTCATTTATGTATATGTGCAGATTTTAAAATTTATAGTATTTATTATATAACAAAAATAATTTTATATTAATTATTATCGTGATAATAACATATAATAAATATATATAATTATATATAATATTATATTTAAAGATTCAATAATTTACACTAAAATAGATATAATTTATTGTCTAAAATATCATGTTTATAAATAAAATAATCTTACTTTTTATATTTTGCTGTTGTGTAGTTATTTTATTGGCTTTAATCTCTTCCAACTGCATTGGTTGCATTTAGTCATTCTTAGTTTTGTTATTTGTTGTGATACTGATTTGTCTTATTGTCCCAAAGTTTGAAATTTGTGTATATGTTTATTAATTATGGTTTAAACATTATAATTATGATTTTTGTAAAGATTATATTACTGTGGGTGGAGAATTAATCTAAGCGGCAAGGATTAACTTTTTGGTATTTCAAAGAATTCATACTTGAACAACTGATTAATCATCATCTCTAACAGCATTGTCTTTGAATGGAGATTTTCAAATAATTATAAGAAAAAATATGGGATAAACAATGTCCTTCGTTTTTGTTGTTAATAGAAACAATCAGGATTTATGATTTGTATATTTTTAATTCTTTTAAATTTGACACTTATAATTTAATAATAATAATTAAAGATTATGAATTTTATATTTAAATTCTTTTATACTATCAAATATATTATCTAAATATGGTAAAAATATTACCATGAACAATAATATTTTTGAAAATAAAAAATTATTTAGCCTAATATTAATTCAATTTGATTTATATATGTTTTTTAATGTGTTTTGTAAAAAATAATATATATGTTCAATATTTAAATTCAAATTAAATCAATCTTTAATTTATACAAATCCAACTGATTAACCCGAAAATTCAAATGATCAATTTTAGGTGCTTTAAACTATTTGACCTAAATTCATCCCAGTCAAACCGTTGTTTGTACTTGTTTTTGATATATTAGAAAAATTAATTAATTAAAATAAATTTGATATTAAATTTAAAATTTCCATCGAATCTAATATATATGATAAATTGAGGACAAAATTGAGTTAATGTGCAAAAATTTTATTAAAATAAAATATACGACGATTAAATTCACTTACTATATAAATAATTATAAAATCATCTAGACATAATAGTAAATAAAAAATATTTTATTAAATAGACTTAACACAAAATGTTATTGAAAAAATAATATTACAAGTTAAATAATTGTAAAATAAAATAATAAATATAAGTTAAAATCTACTAATATTTCATCAAATTTTGTTTCTAATAAAATAGTATTTAATCAAATATAATCATGAAAGCATTCCTAAAAAAAAAACTAGATGGGTTAATTCAACTTAGCATGTCTTTAACTCATGGAAGAGGTGAATTATGTAGATTGAAAAACTAACCATTTGTGAAAAAGGTGAATTTGCACTACTTAAAAGTAGTTTTGTTGAACAAAACATAAAGTTAAAAACCTTACCTATATCACTAAGTTACTATTTTAATGAGTTAGATTAACCTATTTGCACATGTGTAAGAATCTAATTGATTTTTTAA